GTGTGTATAAGAGTCAATCACAAGTTTGCCCTTGGGAAAGAATTGGAGTAGTTTACACACATCATGTCTTTGTTTCTTTATTTTCCTCTGCTCATGCAAAGGCTAACGGGTGTCACACATGTGACTGTCATGCTCTGCTAAGAGCTACACTGTGTTAACATGCCCCACTAAGTTTGTAAAAACACTAAGAATGTCTTTTCAAGATCGTATATACTCTTGAACAAAGGCCTTAAGATGTGCAAAAAAAATGCCACAAACACCTGGAAATAAAATTATTTTAACAAGCGAATAAGTTCTGAAATGGACTAAATGTGACGACACACTGCAGAACAATTCAGCAGTAAATAAACTTATCGTGGAAGTCTGTGCAAAGCCATTTGTCTTCTTTTGCACTTCATATACTAGCAGAATATTCTGGAAGAGTCTTCAATCTGCATATTGTTTGTGTTTGAGTAATAAATTCCAATACCACTGTCCTCTGATTAAGTATTGTACATCAAGTGAGCTACTCTAAACTAAGTATTCCTTATGTAACTGTTAGTAATCAAAATGTGGAAGCTAAGGACTGATTCAGCTTCTAAAGGCACAGGCTCTTTGTGTACGTGAGTGTCAGTTTGGCTTTGCATTGAGGCTCGACGGGTCACAAAGAGACTGTCTTCCTTGTCTATTATTTCACCAGATTGCTCTAGTCCATGTTCCACTTCTTCACCAACACCAACTAAAGACTGATGCCGTATAACACAAATAACTGCAACTTCTCATGACTAACAAGGTTGTTTTCCATCAACATGAAATCTTTGTTTCTTTAACTCTCTACCCTGTTTACTCTTTTCTTTCTAGCCGCCTCCTCTCTCTTTTCCTCTTAACCGTTTGTCCGTTGTTTCATTTGCACGCGGTGGAAATTTTGCAAGAAATGAAGAGTGGAGAAAGGGAGCACAACACTTTTTTCCTCAGTCTGGACAGCTTCTCCAGAGGTCAGTGTGGAAATGTGATAGATGGTAATTTCAGAGCAGAGACTGCAACAGGGAGACAGAGAGCTGGCACAAAATAAAAGACAGTAGCTGGGTTTCCATCCAAGTATATTTATGAGAATTATACTTTACTGCTGCGACTCTGCAAACCCTGCACATATATTACTCAGAGAGGTTTTGTTCTAATGTGAATGGCCCTATTTAACCACTTAATATATTTTAGCTGCTTTCTTTTCTATTCTCTTTTCTGCTGATGAAAATCCCTGCTGTTGAATGTTTGTCACAGCTTATGCTGTCGTTAGTATTATGATCACTTTGTACACATGTAAAGCCAGTGTCCAGAGCATGATATTGTTGGATACAGTGTATAAAGTATGGTTGGATGATTTTGGATGAATATATCAACTAAGAGAGATTTATTTATCTATTTATCTGCCCATGAGTAAGTTTGCTAATAATGCTGGTTGAAGCTAAGAGAAGGAGTCAACTGAAGAAATAATAGCACTGTTTAACGGCATCCTCTTCCAGTTGCAAGCAAATGCACCCTCCTGAGAGTGCGCCCAAACGTGGCGATTTATTCACTCAAACTCATAACGGAAAGAAAGGCAGTAGTCTATGTTCAGAAAAAAACAAAAACATTTTATTTAAATTAAAACAACACACAATGGTGGGGAGGGAAACAAGGAGAAACTGGCATCTTTTTTCCACTATAACCGTGTTTACAGGCTGTTCCAGTGTTTATCTGTCTCACACACTCGACCAAACAACAAATACAAAATTCAACAAAAAGTAAGTTAAAAATCAAAATGCTCAACCCAGTCCTGAGTGGGTCTCCTTCAGCCAGTGATGAAGACCTGCTAAAAACTTCACTCTTTCCATAAAAGACAGAAAGAGTTGTGTAATTGTGTGCTTATGTGTTTTGTTTAAATAAAGGAAAGCACCGAACAGGCCCGAGAGTCTGGGGTGTCGTGCAAGGCTCTGCTATGTATTTTCTTATGTTACTGGTTCTGATTGGGGCAGCAGAGAAGAGAGACAACAAGCAGAGACACAGAAACATCAGAAACTCCTCCTCCTCCCCACTCGCCTAGTTTTCTGGGAAAACCTCGGCTGTGATTTCCAGACACACACTGGGGTCACCAGAGGAGGCTGAGGCTGACGACTGGTTCTAATTACAAACTGCACTGTAAGGCCTTGTGCCTTGGAATGTGTGCGTGTCCTGCGTGTGTGTGTGAGTAAGATGTAGAACAAGGTGTTGTGGCTTATTGCTATGAAATAAAGGCTTTGCAAGCCATCCCAGCCACCTGCTTTTTATCACAGGCATCTGTTCCCACAATAATGGCAGACACACACTGTTATTCTTCACACTGGGTCTTTTTACATGCACATCTCACTTTCACAATAATGACACACACATCACTGTTTTAACAGAGATGTTACGGTCCTCATTGACTGTCATGGTGATGTGAGGCACAGTATGAGAGAGGAAAACATACTGAAGCCATGACAGCCCTTCCAACTGCTTTACAAGTGACTGTAAAACACATCTCATATGTCCTGCTGCATTGGGAACGCCGGTATTTGCGTGATTAACACCATTCAGGTGCAGGGTGTCACAAAAACTTGTGCACAGAACTTCACCGTATTGCTAACAAGTTCACCATCTGATGATAATGAAGGTAAGGGTCAGCGTTATTGGTCATTTCTCTGCAATGTCTACTAGCACCAGTTGTGTTTTACTGGTAAGCAGTCCTGCATGAATGTTAAAGATACCTGTAGTGTTAACATGATGAAGTTATTTCTGTTACGTAACACAGTTGTTACTATCAGAAGTTTGCCTTCTTCACAACAAAACCCAAAAATATCCAAAAGGGATTTGAAATTGGACCTAAATTCAATTAAATGCTGTAAATGAATGCAAACTGGGAGGCAACATTCAGCTTTGAACAGATGATGTGACAAAATTAGCTAGTTTGGGGAAAGTAGTGCAACTGCAAATAGCAGCACTATAAAGTAAAGACTCTAACACTGACCTAACATTAAGAATAGTGCATTGTTTTATAGATAGTTGTCAAATCATTTTATATTCAATATTTTTTGGCTATGTTCAAATGTATCAAATTGGGTCGTATACAGAAACGTTAGGTCCTTGCACTCTGGAGTGTGTATAGTAACCTGTATAATAGCAGGACAAAGAAAATGAGCTGTCTTTCCTTTATTTATCACTTACTTATGCCACATAAATTACATGTGACTTGCACTGCATTGCTCAAAATGTAGTTACTCAGCAGTGTCCTGAAAATAAAGTATTCTTTTGTCCTTCACCATTGATTTGCTTGGTTTTGCATTAAAGCAGCTGGGCTGAGAGGATGACCCATAGCAGCGGAAGCAGAATGACGCAGGGCTATCTGGTATTTGTAGAAACAACTCTCTTTAGTCAGACAACCAGAACGCATACTGGAACTCGGTATAACTCTTACTGTGAGCATTGCTTGCAATAAGTTCCAACATGGCCAAATTACACAGAACTAAAATGAATAAATCTAAATAAACTTCAGTCTTACCATCCAGGGGTGAGGGATCTCTGGAAGTGGCATCTGAGGTGGAGCAGGCAGTCCGCTGTGTATCTCTGACTTGAATGAAGGCTCTAGAAGAAATCAAGTGGCTATTATGAATATAAACAAGAAGATGCTTTACAGTGCCACTAGTGTCAAATCTAAGTAGTGACAAAAAATAAAATGTCATAATTTCCCTTCTTAAAATCATAGAACCAAATAGACTGTGCTTCTGTGTTTCTCTGATTTTAATGCGCTTCACTTCTGCTCCTCATTACAAGGTCCCTTTGTGGATTTTTTTAATGTTAAAATGCAAAATCTCCAATAAATATCAGGATGTCTACACGTGACATTTTGTTGTTGATAGAAAACTGAAACGTCATTATGAATTTATGTGAATAATCTCATGTTTTGAGGCTCCCAGTATAGCACTAAAACAATCTTCGCGTTTAAGGATGCAAACAAGAAACAAAAATACAATAAAATTTCTGTGTATATCTTCTTTTCATGTTAGATTCATCCAGATTTTAATATAAACATGTTTTTGCATTTGAATTTTATTTTAATAATGGCAGCCACACACGTGAACATCTTAAAGAAAAAAAGTCTGTGTTAAAGAAAAGCTCAGAAAACATCAAACTGATGAAATTAACTCTTTTAATCTGTCATAAACAACTTTTGGCTATATTAGCTTACAAGTAAAGGGTTTTATAAGTAAATGTATACCAATATAACTCTATGATGACAGCAACCAAACAATTCAGTCCCACACTGACCTAGTACCAGCTTATTGTGGTCTACATTCTTTGTGTATGTACCAGACTGCTCATGGAGCTCCTGCAGTCAGCCATAGTAAGGTCAGGTGTTGTATCTAATATCTGACCACCTAATGGACTTACTCCAGCTGTGAGTCCCTTAAAGTGTTTCAGAAGGTGCAGTATAAGTTTAATCCTCACCTTTGTCGGACAGTACTCTGTGCAGAATATTGGAGAGGTGTATCTTCTTCTCTCGGACCCCAGCACTCAGATATTCTCTGTCCAGCAGGTCCAGAAACAGACGAAGCTCACACACCAGCTCCTCCATTGCTGAAGAACAAATACACAAATATCAAAGAGTCAGGTTATGGAACTCTAGTCTAACTGGAATGAGACCTACGCTACTTTATCTTTAAACTTGCAGTGATCGCACCAATACTGAAAACAACTAATTTCTTACAGCTTGCTTTTCTGTTTTTCACTGTCTGCAATTAAGAGCTGGGTGAGAAATCAAAGACTAGTTAGTTGTTTACCTTTGTTTAACTGAGCGGATGTACACCATCAGCCAACAGAAACACTAAAGCACTGTGTTTGTAGATGAAGAGCAGTATAGACTATATCACTACAACACCGCAAAACAGTACCATCGTTTTCATTCACGAGTCATACTTTGGTAAGCGTTTACCCAAAATGATGATGACATTCTAATGCTTACATTGTAAGAGATTAGTTTTTCTTTGAACTATTTTGACCTGTGGATTAATACCAATTTAATACTGTATTGAGTGAAACAGAGTGTTTCAGAATGTGAAAAGTGAGTGCTGGGCTTACCAAACAACCTTTTGGTGGCACACAAACAGGCCCCAGCATTAGCTGCTCATTAATCAGTCCCAATGTAGCGCATGTTTCAGTTAAAACACACTGACAAGTATTTTTTGGCCCTGTGCAACAAACCAACATTAAACATATACTGGAAAAGCACAAAATACTGTTATGTAACATAAGTGGGCAGCCAGGTGGCCCGGTGGAAAACAGAATTTTCAAGTAAATCAATCACAAGCGCTGACAGTCCTTCAAGTGCACAGAGCCAGCAAGCTGATAGTTGCTGGGCAGGGACAGATCTGGCAATGTACCTGATGGAATTATAGCCGCAGGTGAAAAATACACCAGCAGCTTGCCATACAGAGCAAAACAAAAGAAGGGAAACCGAATACAGAACATAGCTCGCAGATGAGGTATGGGAGCAAGGTATCAGTGAGTCTATCTCCACACACTTGATCTGAGAGCATTTGATTGGGCACAGAAGCGTGACTCTGAGATGCCACACTCTGCACAGACACTCGGATAAGAAGCACTGTCTCAAGATGAGGGTCCCAGCTCAGTGAAGCTTTTTGTTAACACCTGATTGTATCAAAAGGCACTGCATCATCCTGGACAGCAGCTGCAGACTGAAAAAGTTAAGTGGAGTTTCTGTGGTTACTGCCCTCTGTGACAACGTCGAGTCACTGAATGTCCGAGCGTGATTCAGAAACAATCTGACAGCAGCTGCTGAGCAGACTAACCTGGGAAATTTACCAGAACTCACTTTTTGTGCATCTACAAACTAGCTTGTTTTTGTTTTTTTAGGTTTTAAACTCTACCCGTCAGAGAATAGATTACTGTTTTTGTTTTCTGGGGCTGCAGAAGAAAATCTCTTAGTGAGATCTTAGTGACGACACTGAACCTGACTTTAATCCACTTCTCCAGGCCCAAAACGAGAAAAGAGGCATGAGGAACTGAAGATGAAGTAATTAAACTACAAGCCAAACAACTGTGTATGAATTTAAAAGTCTGGAATTTTCAAAAACATTCACATTTTGTTCAAAACTATTTTGATTATTATTGATAGTAGCGACTTAAGTTAAACTTGTGTTACATGACACAAAAAAAGTGTACACTAAATCTTTATGGGAGACATTAGCATCAAACATACAGACAAGACTTGCTTCCAAGCAAGCTGTGATATGTTCGTGTTCCCATATAATCACATGAAATCAGCTTAACCGACATCTGAGCAACAGGCACACGAGATAAGCTGACCTAATGGCTAACCCATGTGCCAAATGTCACAGCAGTTTAGTATGTCTTAGTATGTGCCATTAAGACTATTTCAGGCTATTTTATAACAGACATAAGTCATGACGTAGCAAACCTCATATATCTCATTCAAAACAGGTCTTTTTTTTATAACTTTTTATTTATTAATTTACAGTACGAGAATACAAAACTTTAGGTCAGCATGGAAGACATACACAGTCTCAACATTAGTATCTATTTACATTATGGTAATATTTAATTGTTCAGTACAAAGGGAGTACACAATCCATTTTTCCCAGAGCTTCTTGAATTTCTCAAGCTCAAGTCTAAGGACAAAGGTAAGTCTTTCCATTCCAAAAATTTCTTCCACTATCCCATGCCACTGGGCCCGAGTTGGAGGGTCTATTCAAAACAGGTCTGAATACCACATGTAATCACAATTCCCACAAGCATTTAACTAAACAAAAACAGATGATGGTGCAGGTAGCTGGCAAAAAGCATTAATGCTCTTCATATTAATATTTCAGCGTTATGACGATAAAATCAATAGATGTTTGTATCCAGTGCAGCCACGGTTCATTTTTATTCCTGCTTGACTGTTAGAGAGCAGCTCTGACACTGAATACACAGACACTTTCCCACATTCCTCACATAATCTGATTATACTACAGGAGAGTCCGGTGAGGAAAAGGGGGCTGGGGTGAAAGATAAACAGAAAAAGTGAGGGTGATGGGGAGACTAACATGGAGTAACATGTTTCCTCCGTTTGTGCATGTAATACCACTAAAACTGCAATTAACGATGACAATAACAACAGAAAATATTTAACTCCTGAGCCACCAATGGAAAAACATATTTCAATGCCGTTTTATTTATATATCACCAAATCACAATCTCAAAGCCTCAAGTCACTTTCTATTGTAAGGTAAAGACCCTATGATAATACAGAGAAATCCCAACAATCAACCCCAAATATCTGTAAGTCTGAGTGCTTTAAATCCTTTTACAGCAGAAAGATTACTTGCACTTTACCTACACTATGACTCTGTACTTGCAGATAAACAAGTAGTAACATCCCTCACTGCGAAGGTACACGCTCCCTGGATCACTTTCAGCACTACCTGATTTTGTACTAAACTCTGAACAGCCAAGCAGCTATTTACTGCTCCATTTACTGCTTCGTAGAGCTTTGTGCAACGTGTGCAATGCTTTACCTCCACAGGGGTGGCCAAAAAACACAACCTGTGCGCATGTGTGCCATTAACAACCGAAAGTGAGCTCTCCAGTTCATCAAAGATGGCAGAGAAAATGAAGAGGTGGAGGCAAGGACCACCCTCAAAGAAAGCCTAAGGGCACGCAGGAAAATAAAATAATAAAAAAAAAAACCATGTTGTGCAAACAAACTGCCCACGTCCTTTCTTCCCCATCTCACCCTGTTCATTCAGCCACATTTTTCCATTTCCATAATGCCCTTCATTGTACTCAACATAAAAGGCAGTGCATGTGTTTGTGTCATGTATTCTAGCTTTTTGATTCTAATGCCATAAATGTTTTAGTCAGTTTTCTGATATCTGCATACATTCTTCATATGTACCCCAAACCACATCTGCTGTGTTAGCATTTGGTCTGCATGACAGAAAATACGTGCTCTTTCCAAAACATCAATTCCCCCCCCCCCCCCCCCACACACACACACACACACACACACACACACACTAAAAACACTGCCAGGTATTCAGATCAAAGGGGGTTTTCCTAAGTGAGGACTGTGTTTGAATGAGACAACGGGGTCACGTTTGGATTTCATGTAAAACTTGAGAGCCTGCGGCTTTGTTATTGTGCAAAAATGCTTAGCAAGGTTAGAGGGGGGAGGGCTTTCTGCCCTCTTCCTGGAATACAGCTGTTATGATTGACGGAACACTGACAGTCGCTATCCCGCACCACATATTCCAGGTGTCTGTTTCTTGTTACCAGCAGCGCCTTTAACACTTCGAAGACGTGTTTAGTTTGATTATCTGACAGGTCTTCAGGTCAGGATCTGCCTCAACATACACACACTGCTGAAATGCGTCAACTATTAGAACTGGAATTATTCCAGTTTGGATTTGGGAAACAGACACTATCTCTACTTTTAAGATTAGGTTTAAAACTTTCCTTTTTGCTATAGTTAGGGTTGGATCAGGTGACCCTGAATCCTCCCTTAGTAATGCTGCAATAGGCCTAGGCTGCTGGGGGATTCCCATGATGCACTGAGTATTCCTTCTTCAGTCAATTTACTTCACTCACTATGTGTTAATAGACCTCTCTGCACTGAACCATACTTGTTATTAATCTCTGGCTGTCTTCCACAGCATGTCTTTTATCCTGTTTTCTTTCTTTTATCCTGTTTTCTTTCTCTCACCCCAACGCAGCAGATGGCCCCGCCCCTTCCTAAAGCCTGGTTCTGCCGGACGGCTCTTTCTGTTAAAAGGGAGTTTTTCCTTCCCACTGTCGCCAAAGTGCTTGCTCATAGGGGTCATATGATTGTTGGGTTTTTCTCTGTATGTATTATTGTAGGGTCGACCTTACAATGTAAAATGCCTTGAGGTGACTGTTGTTGTGATTTGGCGCTGTATAAATAAAACTGAATTGAACTGAATTGTTTTTTTTCCTTTAAGAAAATGGTCCAAGTCACTCTAATACCAAACCATTGTCATAATCATAAAGCCATACCACTTTTGTAAATCAACATGGGCTCAGTTTACTTGGATAAATGGGCCATACAAACACGGTAAAGGTCTTTAAGTCTTGGATGGGAGTATAAATGCACTGTGCCAAAAGTGAACAAGGAGTAGGGTTTATATTCCTAACAAAAAAACATAAAATGCTTTGAATGGCAAAACAATACAAAATATACCAAGAACATAGAAAATGATGATTCTAATTAGCTTTACTTGTAATAAAAGCAATAATATCAGGAACAAACACATAAATTGATTTCTAGTATATTTCCTTTGTTTGTTCTTCAAACTTCAAGGCTTGACGCAATAATGTTTTCAGACTATTTTTTCATGGACCTGACAGTTCAGATTCTTATCCAAAGTTGAATCAGCTGAATATGTTGTCTACCATACCAGGTCAGCTCAACCAGAACTCTTATTTTGTGGCAGTTAACAGATTTTAAAGGAGTCCTTGTGCACCTAAAAGATGCATGAGAAGCCAGAGACTTACAGTTCCAAACACCCACTTTCTGTGGTTTTGGGAAGCTTAACTGC